ACGGAAGCTGTGGAACTCTCTGGAACTCACCCCGAAGTTCAGAGAAGATGTCAGATAGATCTGAAAATCAGAGAAGAGAGAAATGAAGGAGTGAAGCTGTAACCAGTTTGTTATCAGCAGCAAAACGTCTGGAGTCAGAAAAACTGCTGACTATGCAGGTTGTGCTGCATCAGTGAAGGACCAGAGGCTGAAACAGGGAGCTGCTCCCTGAAGTAGGGCACCAGCTCCCTGTTCTGATTCCTATCATCTGACATACCTGGAGGGCCTTCTGGTGGTGGTGGTGGTGGTCCAGGTTCTTCTGGTTCTGTAGGAACTGAACAAAAAATGTTTCTTAAAGTCTATCTTCAGGACACCTCACATGTCTATGCAGTTTTCTCATTTTTCCTTTGAATGGGGGGGCTGTGCTGCTCATGAGATGAGCTGCTGGACTGACTGAGCAGCATCTTCATTGTTCTGCTTTATGTGCCGACTGCTTCAGCTAGCGGTTCACTGTTTGAGCTGCTGCTCTGGTCAGAGTTTAAGATGATAAACTGGATTTATTTTATGCCCGACTGGTCCAAATGCTGCATCTGTCAGAGACTCTTCTTTTATCACTGGTTTCCAGGGCTGGTACAGAGGGTGCTGGAACAGTAGAAACCTGAACACCCAGCATCTACTGTGAGCAAAAACGCCCTCTGGCCTGCAGATGGAAGACCTGCAGCTGGGAGGAAGCAGCTCAGGCAGAAGGTGAAGCTGCTTCTGAGCCCAGTTAGGATGAGTGGACCATGTTCCTGCTGCTCAGAGAAGCTGACCAGCAGCTTCACAGCTCTGTGTCAAACTCTGCAGAACAGCTACTCCACAGGAGCTCCTCCCTGTTTCAGACTCCTCTCAGAGCACCAGGCAGCAGCTGGAACACCTCCACTCACATCTGGAAGACTCTCTGAGGATCACCCAGCAGCTAAAGCATTTGCACCGGAAACCTGCAGCATGGAGAACATGTCTGACTCAGGAACTTACGATGAGGTGGGAGGACTTCAAGGCTGCTGCGGCGTTCCCTCTGTGAATCTGAAAATCAGAGAAGAGAGAAGTGAAGGAGTGAAGCTGTAACCAGTTTGTTATCATCAGCAAAACGTATGGAGTCAGAAAAACTGCTGACTCTGCAGGTTGTGCTGCATCAGTGAAGGACCAGAGGCTGAAACAGGGAGCTGCTCCCTGAGGGCAGATCTGAATGAGAGCTGTGAGAGCTTCTGCTACAAACTCCTTCAGTTTGGGACAAAGTACACTTTGATCCTCTTTAGTCCCTAAAAGAGTTTCTAGAAATGAAGGAGCCTCATCAACAAAGCAAAGACTCAGACTTACCAGATCCAACACTGGCTCTTTTAGTACGACCTAAAGGAGAAATGAGAATAAACAGAGTGAATTTTTCTTGTTAAACCCCATTTCCTGACAGTCGGTGTGTTTCAGGAGGCCTGCAGAGACTCTGTGGTCTGCTCTGCTCCTCTGGAAGCATGCAGAAAGCTCAGTAAAAGGAGCTCTGAGCCAATGTCTCCAATGAGGACCAGAAGGAGGCAGCATCTGTTTGTGAGCAGCTGCTGTGGAAAAGATGCTCACTGATGCACATCAAGCTCCAGAAAAACTACTGACATCAACCCCACATCCCTCCATATGCTGATGACCCAAATCATGAGTCCTGCTCAGGATGCTGAGGACTGACACTGGTTCAGCTTTCTATCAGCT